GAAAATCTTCGATAAGTAAGAAATAGTTTTGATAACAAGCAGTAACGCACGTTCATCCCTTTAACTTTTGTTTTTTGCACGAATCGATTAATAAAATTACACTCGCACTTGCGATACTCGCGTCTTGTCATGGAATAAATTCACTTTTCTTTCTTTTTCTTTGCCCTATATAGCTTTAATACAGATAATTGAAAGTTTTGATACTGCACATAGAAAAATATGTTTCTCATTGTCATCTCTGCTCCTGAGAGATTCATATCCGAGTACATCGAAATGGTGTCACGCTCTTTTTTTTTTTTTTTTTCAATTTTTTTACTACCCTTGTCAAATAGTTTTATGACGACTAATTAGTTTTTAAATGGTCGTCTTTTATACGATCTACCATTCATCGATATATTCGCAGTTCGTAACAAATGAATCGATAAACAAAATAGCAGATTGATACAATAAAAAAAATACTTTACAAGTATACGTACATTTATGGCAAGAGAGCGGAAGAGAAAAATGTCAAATTATTTAGCATTATTCGCGCTTCGAGCAGATTATGAAAGAGTAACTTACGTATTTCACATCATAAGATGGTAAATTATTGAACAATTGTAAATACATGAAGGAAATAAGCTACGCATTGTCATGATTCACATTAAATGTAAATCATTGTTGACTTGGAAAGTCTTTTAGTCTTTTTTTTTTGCGGTTTCGCATAAAACTAGTAAGCGCGTCGCAAGAGAATCGGATCTTATTTTCTCTATGTTGTTTCTAATCTTACTATTATCATTATTGTTATTATTACTAATATTATTATTGTTTTGTTATTTTAATATTATGATTATTGTTATTACTATGAGTTTATTATCATCATCATCATCATCATCATCATCATCATCATCATCATCAGCATCACTTTCTGTAAAACTCATATCTTCATAATTGATCGCTTCTAATTGAGATAAGAAAACCAAAATGTCACCGAGACATCTTAGTCGAACCGAAATATTAAATAGAACGAGCGTGTCTAATACTTCATAGAAATAGCATTTCTATTCAATAATCGTGTTTGTTTCCTATAATTACTAAAATTAATCAACATTCGATTTGAAAAAAAAAAAAAAAAAAAATGAATCGAACATTATATTTTCTTTCAGTAGAGAAAAAGGCACATAAACGAAATAAATGGCATTCTCGTTCATCGAATACAATGAACGCATTTGCGTATGATACAGATAAATAAATTGTATTTCTTTTGGCTTTTGATTTTTTGAAAAAATTAAGAAATTCTACATCGACAGATACGAAGTATACTTGATAAAGACACGTTACATTCTGGAATTCAAGTTTTGTTCCGATAATATTTTGACGCTTGCAGTTGCAAAAAAAGATGTAAGAAATAAAAACGAAGAAGACGGTCGCTCGAACCAACATCGTGGAGGCGGACGAGTGTACACGTATTTCCGAGAACGGAGAGGCACAACGCGCCGCTTTTTCGACTTAGACCTTATCATGGAAAACTATACGGGTGCGGAAAATCCAGCGCAATATAAAGGCACCGGAAAAGTATTCCTTCTTATTTTTTTTAGAAACGCATCAACTATTATCTTTCCTTTTTCTACAGGAACATTACTACATCTATGCAGCTCGACGAAACGATCGTTTCTATAAACCATAAGAATAAACTCGCCTCGTCGAGAATGGAAATAGGTTTTTTTAGCTATCCTTCAAAATAGATCTTGAGCCATTCATTTGTTTGAACAGTATGTCGAACTTTGGAAATATTTGCTTCTTTCTCTCATCCGCTTTCCTTTCTTCTCTCTCTCTCTCTCTCTCTCTCTCTCTCATAAGATTATTTATTTTTTCTTCTCGTCATCTTTCATCTTTCATTTCATTATTTGTATATCCTGTCTACTATCTGCAAATAAAACAGATTACTTTCCTCAAGACTTGTATCATTTCCATATATATTTTCATCGATTTCTTCTCACATGTAGGACGTATGATAAATCTCGCGCTCTTTTTCCAAGTATCAGAGGACATTCAAAAGATGACAATAGTGATCAAAATAGATCAAAATAGACGTCACTACATCACTTTTCCATGTCATTCTATTACCTGGACTACAACTTTCGTCTTAACAAAAAATCGATTCGGCGACATCTTTTATTAACATAATTATCAATCTTTAAGTAGTTCGATAAATGATCTCTAAATTAGAAGACTATTAAAGGTCCACATCTCTAATTAAAATAAAATTCTCTAATTGAAACGTAATTTTTTATAAACTTTTCTTTTTTAGATGTTCTTACACACCTCTAGAGCTGTCATACACTTTGCGTTACAAGAAAAATTATGTATACATCTGAAATTTTTCCTCAACAAATTAAACAAAAAAAGTGCGCGATATTTTACACGTCCCGCGTACAGCTTTTAGTTTTTGTTTTCTTCTGTTTCTTCCTTATTTAATAATATGTATATATCTGTATATAAACTCTTACTCGCTAATGTATAATTTAAGACTAACGCTCTGCCTCGACAGTTATAAGTACGTGGCAATGAAATATCTTAATATTAATTGATCTCTTACATATGGTTTTTAGTATACACATGTATATATACTAGTGTATGAAATAATTGTAATATATCATTATATTTGAGGTCTGACGAAACCTGAATTTTCTGTTACTCAAAACGTGATTTACGTCAGAGATATGATGAAAAAGATAAAAAACAGTGCATTCGAATAATCTTTTAAGCGTAATAAGCGTAATAATATATGTAAATAGTGTAATTACATTGCAAACTTGTATCTTTATAAATATTCTGTTTGTAAATTATAAAATATTTTAATACCGATATATAACTTTTTCAATAAAGCTTAGCAAAATTTTAATCAACAGAGATATACATAATTGTATATTCGGAATTTTTATTTCTGTAATAGTAAAAGTAAATTCTCTTGTATTTCTCATCATATTTCTAACATTTCACGTTGCAATATGCATGTTTATATAATATATATATATACACACGTCCGTCGTTTCTTCTCTATAATATTTATGAATATGCATAAAGATAAATAATAATCGTAATAATAACAATAATGATAATAATAAGAAATAATAACAATGACAATGATAATGATGATGATAATTAATTTGTAAAAAATATGTATGTGTGTGTGAGACGTGCGTAACCATGCACACAGCGGTACCTATGATTCTATAAGTACCTGACAAATATCTATTAGTATGGCAAGAAAAAAATTGAAAGAGGAAATAAATTTAAAATGAATGGCACGAACATTAATACTAATAAAACGAGACAAAAATATAAACTTAAAACGCAGATAATTGATAACATTACATCAGATGTTCGCTGGGAACGATCACAGTCTGTGAAGAGATTTGCAATGTGTGGATAAATATAAAAATTAAAAACTACCTTAAACACACACGCGCAAGCACGCACGCACACACATACGCGTATATTTTTATACTTAAAAGTTACATACTTAAAAAATTAATCTTATATATATATAGTATCTAAATATATAATCAGTATTCAACGAATGTAACGAATATAAGAAGTCCAACGAAAAATATGTATAAAAACAATGTAAAAAGTTATATAAAAATTATAAAAGCTAATTAAACATGACAAGTGGTCAATGCTATAATAAGTCACAAAGAAAAATAAGGAATATATTTGCTTCAATTATTTGGGCAAATATGTTTGGATTTACATGTAATGTTATATACATATAGATCCTGCATACAACCTACACATCCATACGCATGCACGCGCACCGCACATACAAGAGAAAAATTTGGAACTATCATAAAAATATAAAATACTGTCAACTTTATATTATATATTAAACTAACGTAAGTTTTAATAAAACAAAATATGATTTTTATCTATCATGAAATATTGCTATGCTTTTACATTTTTATAAAGCATAACCAAAAAATTTTACAATTAATATAAATAATCTTTTCCTTTTATGAACTAAAAAAATGAAATAATTCTACTCTTTCATAAAATAAAAAACTGTTTTCTAATCGGTGGGTTGACTTGTAACTCTATTATAATGTGTATTAGGAATATTATGTAATTTTCATTCCTTTTACACTATTTGCACTTGTAATGTTGTTTAACAAAAAATTAAAAAATATTGACAATTACCGCACACATCATTCATATGAATGTAAATTCAATGATATAAAAACAAAATAAAGAGATGTATTATCTCCCTTACACACGCACGCACGCACGCACGCACACATCACGTGCGCGCGCACACGCACTCTCTCTCTCTCTCTCTCTCTCTCTCTCTCTCTCTCTCTCTCTCATCGAATCACTTAGTTTCTAAGTTACATCGACTTTTCATAAAAATATTTTCTTTTTCCTCGTCGTACACGACGTATGGCAAGAATTTTTGACTTGTAGTCAAATTTCTACTCTAGAGTTTTCGTGGAAAATTAGTACTTTTCCCACATATGTACTTTTTGTTTGTGCTATAAAGAGCATATAAGTGTCTATGACTGTTTTTTATTTTTTATATATTATTATTCGAAAAAAGCATTTTTTTCTAAAAGATACGCTTTATTATATCTCACAAATTGCCTCTATAATACATAAACAGGATGTCCAATTATATAATCAATAAAGTAAAATTTTTTTCAAAACTCACATTATATATTTGAATAAAATAAATAAATAATTTTTGTATAAAATAAATTTGTAATATGTATTTTGTATAAACTTGATTGCTGATGACTTTTATCATAATACTATTATATACAAAATGACTAGAAAAATTAATTATGTGACGTCACGTTTCATATCTAAGAAGGAAAAAAAAATTATTAATGATTAATATCTTCTTAATAAGAGATCTCGAATTTGATCAATTTTCAGCTAGACAAACATCTTATCTTTATAAAATAATGTTTCATTTTGCAAAATAAAACAATGTAAAAAGAAATCTATCAGCTTAGTTGCGGGGAAGATTTATTATAATTGGACATCTCTTGTATTTGCGTAAAATATTATTATGTCTGTTGATGTATAGCATTATTATTGTGGTGGGAACATTACTGGCAATGAAAATTACATGACAAATATAACAAGTTGTCTAGTCAAAAATAAATTAAGACTTGAAGAAGGAATGAAACATCACTTTCCTCCCCTTCCCTATTATATTGACAAGACAAAACGAGGAGGAAGTTAGAAGCACAAATAACGTAAATACACATTTATAAAATTCATTCATTCAATTGAAATCATGAGTCAGTCTCGGAGCTAATTATTATCGTCGTTGGCGATGATAGTGACAATTGATTAGCATCTTGGTGTTACCTCTTCATCGAGGTCCTCTCCTCGTCTCAGAAATCTTTAACGTGCCCCAAAAAGTTAAGCTCATGTGACTGATAATGACCAGATGTAGCGAGTGGTGTAACAGTTGATTGATGTGCTACGTTTACTGTCGTTAGATGATGATGATGATGTAGCGAATGATGCGATGTATGAGTATGAAGAATATTATTTGGATGGGGAACCTGAAAGTTCCCTGGTGGCGGGGCTCAGGACAGGAGAGAGCCCGGATGTCCACCCGGAAGAACGGATGACGCTGAGACAGTTGTGGTTTGCATATTCGAAACGTTATTTTGTTGTTGATTCTGTTGCGTACCTGCAACACAAGTATATGTATCATATATATGTTGATGGTATATGAGAAAAGAAATGGGGGAAAAAAAATGATTTTAAGCTCGCATTCTCGTACAATACATAATACACTTCTTACCAGCATTTTGACTTAATTCAGCCTTCACTCTTCTCGCAATGTGACTTCTGGTATGTTTCCGTAAATGATCCTTCCGATAAAATCCTTTGCCACACTCGGTGCATACGTGTCGCTTCTCCCCAGAATGTATTACAAAATGTAGTGTTAATTGTTCCTTTCTTTTAAAAGCTTTCAAGCAAACGGTACAAACGTAAGGTCGCTCAGGGTTATGGCTCTGTTTATGACGCGTGAGATGATCTTTTCGTTTCAAACCGGCGCCACATATGTCACAAACAAATCTTCTCTCTAAAGTATGACCTAAAAGGTGCTGCTCTAACAATTCTCGTTCTGGATACGCCATATGGCATTCTGGACAACAATATAATGTCGAACCGTCTAACGCTGTCGTTAAACGAATTTCGCCAGGTTTCGGACGTGGCTTTTTCTCCTTCGGCGTCTTCTTCTTTTTCTTCTTTTTATTATTCGGTGACATCATTATATTGGGCGTTGTTGTAGTCGCCACAGCCACTGAGGTTGTTTGCGCCATTTCCGACTCTTTTTTGATACTTTCGGCAGAATACTTGAGAAAATGATGTAAACTCAATGGCAAGGTGCTAGCTGGTAAATGGCTGAGATAATCAGCTACAGTGGAACCGGGAGTCGCGAGCGATTGCCACGTTGCGGGCATAGTAGCTGGCGTCTGAGTATGAGCGTGCTGTTGGTGATGTTGGTGCATCGTATAATCCTGTTGAGTGCCATTCGTCGTAGTCTCTCCATTCCGCTGTTGCTCCTCAGCTTTCTTTTCCTTGCTCTTGTCCTTGTCTTGAAGAAGGTTGCAAACATCTTGTTGATTTATAGTTTCCGTAGATTGCTACGTGGCAGAGAAGAATATATACGTATATACATTTAAAATTCAAACTTCACTCCATCGTTCTTGTATTGCGATAAATGAATAACCCACAACGTTGAACGTTTGGTATTGTTTATCGTTCCGATAAAATATTTGTATGGTACGATATCGTTTTATTTTATTCTTATAATTCATTTCAATATAAAAATTTACTCTAGCTCTAATTGATGAGGAGAGAGGAACTTAACGATATGTTTTCATGCCAAAGAATCATGATAAAGAATGCTAAAGAATGAGAGAGAAAACAAGTTTTTTATTCGTCAAGTTGTTATCTCGACAATCGCGATCATCCATCGCTCGTTTATCATATTTACGACAATAGAAAAGAAGCTAAAGAAGTGGAATATAGCAGTGCGATTGACCGTACGTTGAGAGGCAAGTGCAGAGGTAAAGATACAAACCTAAATAAATACGTTTATTAGAATTGAAAGGAAATGGGCTGCAGTGTAAGCTGTGTGTAAGAGAAGTTGCGTTTTACCTGATGATACGATCGTTTCTCTTGCATTCCAGGCGAGTTGGTTGGTCGTTGTTGAACCGATTGAGCTTGAGTGTACGGCACATTCGGATAATGATGAACATTAGAACTATTGGGATAGCTAGCTTTATTGTTCATCATTACTTGCGACTGAGCCGACTGTACGCCGTTGTTCTCGGGACGGTATTTTCCCACAACCGGCACTCCGATTGGAGGCTGGTTGGGAAAATGATTGGCGTAACGCGCGCCTGCACCACTGGAACTATCGGTTGCAAATTGATGGATACTCGGTATGGTGCTAGGGAAGTGACCTCCGAACGGTGGGAAATTCATTGCAGATCGTAAGCAGAATTCGTGTATCTAAAAAGGGAGAAAAGTGATGAGTGTCTTTCGTGGAAAAAAACTTGCGTGTCGCAAGTGGAATTTTTCAATGCGACAAATTCAAGGTTACTAGATGCGAAGGAGATGTATGTGTATCTCCTTAAGCGAAGTGTGAGAGAAATAAAGGCGAATGGAGCCGCGTGTGGAAGCGAGCCGAGAGGCCGTCGCCGCGCCGGCCGCGTTCTCATCGCGTACCTCTACGCATGCCGATGCAACGGCATCTCGACTCGCTGGCATAACTTTGTCTATGTAAAGACGCGGCGACAGCGGAGGAAGAGGAGGTGGCAGAGGCGGCAGCGGTGGCGGTAGCGGTAGCGGCGCCCGACGATACCGATGACGACGACTACGACTACGACGACGATGACGACGACGACGAAGACCACGACGACCACGACGACGACGACGACGACGATAACGACGATGACGGTGACGAGCGACGAGCGACGCCCGGCGTTATATTTACTCACAACGATGTCCCTCTCCCCATGTTTCCTCGTCGTATCGGATCGCCTTTCTTCGCACCTCTTCTTTCTTCGGAGAAAATCCCTGCGACAGAGACGAGAGAGTGCAGATTCTTCTCGCACGCGAGGATACGCCAGAGAGAGACAATCGGAGAAAGAGATTGAGACACAGAGCACAGAAGCGTCAAAGCGCCAGTGTCGGTAGGCACGCACCACTATACGACAACACTATCGTCGATCAGCGTCCGTCGCGAAATTGGATCTCGGATCGGATTGAAGTGATCCGAAGTACGCGGCGGCGGCGGTCAGCAGGCGGGTCAGTTGGCTCGTATCCCAAGCTTACCCGCCACCTGAACACTGACAACCTGACGTTGATCGTCAACCGGCGACACGACCAAGGTGATTCGCGGCCAAGGACACGCGCCACCCCTCTAGTTCGCGCAACAAACGTGCTCTTTACCGGGGACTGCACTCGAGAACATGCCGACGAAAAAAAGGATGCGACTATCGCGACTAAAAAAAAAACCGCCGACGAAAGATAGCCGTGGAGAAGTAATGGGGTGCACGCGCGCGCGCGCGCGGAGGGGAGGTCGATTGTCAAGGGGACGCGTTACACGCGTAGGGACTAGGGACGCAACCGCCAGCCAGCCCGCCAGCCAGCCATCCTCCTCTCTTCTTCTCTCCTCCTATTCCGCGCCCCACCTCGTCCGATACTTAGTCGATACGATACGCGCAGCGTGGGACGTGGGACGTGGGACGTGGGGGATACCATCACCGTACATATCAGACTCGGGAGAAAATGGCCGTGCGTACGATTCTCAGTCTAGCGCGTACCACGCGCGCAGCCGAAATGTAAAAGATACGATATGGGAATGTCGCTCACCATTCGGTAATCCTCGCTCAAACTCGCCTGGAACGTTTTTCCCCACGCAACCGGCTGTCGCCGACAAAAAGATTTCTCGCACGGTGTACAGTTGACACCTGTCTCTCAAGCCGGTGTCCCCATCCCACCTATCCGCCCTCTACTGTGCCAGCCTCTTAACTATTTTTTCTCTCTCCCGGATCTCCCGCCTCCCGACGTGACGCGCCGCGACGCATCGCACCGGCGCCGCGACGTGAACGGGCCGAAAATACCAGAGAATCGTGAGCAAGAATCTCAATTTGCACCTTTTCCCGCCGATATGCCGTTACATCCCCTCTACGACAGATTCGCACACATCTCTTGACATCTCTACACACACACACACACACACACACACACACACACACACACACTAAAAATAAGTGAACAGATAAACTAAATTAATGTACTTAAATTAAACGGGTCAACTAATAAAATAATACAAAAAAACAAATAGCCGTCTGTAAAATCGCATCCTGTTATCATGAATCTGATATTACGTCTGCAACAATATAACGTATATATTAGATGTGAAAATAATAAAATCCATTAATTTAGTTTACCTGTTCTATTTAATTATGTTTATATGTAACATTGAGGATGACCCGATCGGGCTCGAAATGACGTTGTCTGTTATTTGTTATTTGCTTTATATCATGATAATTATATTTGATTCTTACACTTACACATTTACTTTGTTGTTTTTACGTTCACAGCCTTTCTAAATACTTATTTTTAATTTGTATTATTGTTCTGGATTCTACGATTTTTACTTTTAATCCAAGATTTTACAAACAAATATTTGGTATCTCCATGGGTTCGCCTATATCTCCGGTTGTTGCTGAAATTATGTCGTTTTGGCGGCTCCCTCTGATACCATGAATGATATTAAAAACATTTTCAATTCATCGCATGCTTGCTTGCAGTTCACCATCGAAATTGGTACTCAAGGTAGAATTTTTTAGACAATGACAATTGTTGAGGAGAATAGCATTGTGTGTTTAATAGATTTCAGAAACCTACTTGTTCGGGGAGATTTCTTAACTTTTATTCCCACTATCCTTTGTGTCACAAAAAAGGCGTTATTATATATATATATATATATATGTGCTATAGATAGAATCTTATTATTGTCTCACCCAAAATTTTATGAGCGTAATCTTACAAGTGTTCACCCGTTTTTGGAGAATGGCTATCCTCTCCATTTCACATTCGCCACGATTAATAACAGACTCCTACATTGTATTTACATTCGTAAATACAAAAACTCCCATATTTCTTATTTTCCTAAAAAAGAGATGTCTGCGAACAAATATTTCACCATACCGTATGCTAAATCAGTTTTTGAAACTTTTAGACCTATCGCCTTAAAAATGAATTGTAAGTTAGCTTATTCAATTCCGCACACGTTAAATAAATATATAAAAAGGGGTAAAGATCAATTAGACGTTTTTATCACATCAAGGGGTAGTTTACAAAATATTTTGTGAAGATTGTGGCTCAAACGTTATGTGGATCAAACGAAGAGAAAGTTAAAAGACTATAGATTGCAAGAACATAAACTAGATATAAATAAAAATACGGGCTCTCCAACTGTCATCACGAACCATCGCATTGAATGCAACCATAATTTTCATTGGAGTAATGTACAAATTCTTGATAAGGAACCTATGAAAAAAGGTTGGCATCTGAAATGGTTCATATTAAAAAGCAAAGCCAGGGTTTACATAAGCAAAGTGAATCTGAATCGTTACACGAATCCTATCTTCCTATCATACAACCTTTTTCCCTCTCAATCATTCTTTCCCTTTTTCTTCTTATTTCCCTTTTCTAACTATTTCTAACTCCCACTTTTTCAACGATTCCTTCACTCTGTGTATCGCAGCCAATCCACGAAGACGTTTCTTCGCAATACTGCTTCCAAATTTTATATTCTTTTGTCAACGTCGAATTAAATATTCTTGATAGATGAAATTTTGTGTACTAATACAGATATGAAAGTATTTTTATCAGTGGACACCGTAATTTTAAGGTAACTTTGACTAAGTTTTAATTTATATACATATATATTAATCTACAAATGGACTTTGAATTGCTTTATATTCAGTATCACTGTACTTAATGCTCTGGCGTTTTCTTTGCTTTAGATATTGTGTTGATGTAATGTTTGTTCTCACTATTTTTATAGATTTTAACTTTTTGAGAATTTTTGAATTTACGATGCTTGTGAATATTTTGCGTATTTTGGCACCAATATAGATATAATAACTTTTATTATTTTGACATCTAACATATGTATATGCTATAGTGTTGCGCACGTAATATCAGATTCATGATAACAGGATGCGATTTTACAGATAGCTATTTGTTTTTTTTTTGTATTATTTTATTAGTTAATCCTAGTTATAGTTTAATTAAAGTATATTAATTTAGTTTATCTGTTCTATTTAATTATGTTTATATGTAACATTGAGAATGATCCGATCGGGCTCGAAATGACGTTGTCTGTTATTTGTTATTTGCTTTAGATCATGATAATTATATTTGTTTCTTATATTTACACATTTACTTTGTTGTTTTTTGGTTCACAGCCTTTCTAAACATTTATTTTTAATTTGTATTATTGAACCATGTCATATGATGCATATATATATATGATGCATATATATATATATATATATATAATACTATTGTAGCCTCGACGTTTTTGTATTAGGATTTTCGTCTCAAAATTACTTCAAGAATACGTTCTTAAGAGGAAATTCGATAGTACGAGACACCCTGTATGTACATATACAAGGTGATTCGAAATTCACAAATTCAGAGTACAGGACATGATACTTTATGCTAAAAGAAACAACTGTTTCCTTTTGCAAAATTGCGTCTAATGAGTAGTTTCTGCAGAAGAGCAGATTAAAGTTGTACGAGTAAACGCAAAAATTATTTATTGAATGTTATTTTACTACAAGAAAAAGTTGTTCGTTTTTTTGCACAAAAAACTTTTTCCTTTAGCAAAATTGCGTCCGATAAGTAGTTTTTGGGGAGAATAGATTAAAGTTAATAAATAAGCGCAAAAAATATTTATTGGACGCAATTTTGTTAAAGGAAAAAATTGTTTGTTTTAGCATTAAGTATCATGTCCTGTATTCTGAATTTGTGAATTTCGGACTCATCCAGTATATATAAAACTTGAACATCTAACGAAATTATTTACAAAGGAAAGGGTAACGTGTACATGTAAATCTCATTACAGAGGCAAGAATAATTTTGTATTAAATGTATGTTTTATTTCAGTTTTCTCCTCCAATATTTATGTAAGTAACAATGAAAATGACTTATGTACTACTTATCCTAACTACGATAATGGTATATATATCTGTATAATATTATGATAATAAAATAATAATATTTCTTGTACAGTTACCCATTGCCTTTAATTGTAATACTTACAATAAGAAGTTTTTTTTCATGTATACATACACCTTTATAAAAAAGCTTTTTCAGGTGAATCACGATTCATCGATTTGGTTAACATTCGCGGATTTTAATTCTCTATATTCTTTGTTATCTTCATCTATATTCCTTTACATATCTTTGTATCGTATCATTTAATCGTGCCCAATTGAATTTACACAAGTATCTCGTATTTGTCCACGTATTTGTAATGATTTCACGACGTGCAAGTTTGCTTCTTTTTGTGCAAACGTTGATATTAAATCAAGATGAATCCTTTGCGGATTGCGAAGAATTATCGATTGTAGAAACGTTGATTTCAGAGCAGCGTACATCATTACGCAAATGCGTAATTCAGTAATTTTTCGTAATTATTATCCCTTTCCCTATCATTTCTGAAAAAGTACTAAACGTTATTGATTCTTTATATGTAATTCTACCACCAACTCGTAACTCGTTATTCGTATAGCACGGGTTCGAATGTCCCCAATACTTTGCGTCTTTACGAAGGCAACATATGCAATGATCTAAATTATAGAAAAATGTAAGCATGCTTCCGTTGATATATTCCTACAAAATACAAATTAAACTTACAATTTATTTCGGCAGATTCCCTTATAATGTCACGATTGTATTGCATAAGAGAAATAAATAGGTTCACCTCGCGCGCATACAGCACGTACCAATATTACATTTCCTCTCACATTCATGAAAATTCGCACGTGTATTTACAAACTCTGTTCCATACCTCATATTTCTCTCGTTAATTCTTTCATTACGTATTTTTTTATCATCATCGTCATAAAAGCGAATTATCATTCAAATATAATCGATTATTATTATTATTATTAGCCCAAAACTCGATCGCCATGTTATCTTGGGCGAATCCAGTTCGCGCTTTCAAAAATAGATATTTTTGTTTATTGTTTGTTGCGTGCGTGCGTGCGTGCGTGTGTGTATGTGTGTGTGTACGTGTGCATGTGTGTATATATATATATATATAAACTTCATATATATTTCTAACTTGCGTCATAGAACTGGATTAGCGACAAAAACAATGTTATTGAGGCGAGCGGCAATTTCGTCGCTTCTTTCCACGTACGCTACAACGTGTACGTAAAAGAGGAATTTGTGTGTACGCACTTTTTTGTCACTTCAGTTCGACACGCTTTACAAGATAATAATTATTATAAACACGAGCTTGTGCCGTGATTAAAGGTGATTCAAACCGATGGCGCGAACATTTCAATCCTAATAAACTGGCTTTGTGTCGATGGATCAAGGACGTAAACCTTAAAGAAATGGAGGTGTTTCAAATGCCTTTGAAAGAGACTACAATGAAGTAATCAGTAATCAACTAGCCAACGAAACTTTCGTCCGATAATATGAATTTTCCTATCGAATTTGCAAAACTCAATCAGCGAGTACGCTATGTCGTGTACGACATCTAGCGTGCTGATGATTGAAACGAAAAAACCGCCCAAGTTGATTTGGGGCGGTATGCTGTTGCTAATGCTGTTGCTGTTGCTGCTGTTGTGGCTGTTGCTGCGACTGTTGCGACTGTTGCGATTGTTGCTGCTGCTGTTGCTGTGACTGCTGCGACTGCTGCTGCTGTTGTTGCTGCTGCTGCTGCTGCTGATGATGAAGCATCGTCATAGCTCCAGTTTCAGCCGCTGTAGGTAAAACTACGGTAGACTGTTCGTTAACCGATATCTGGTGAATCTGCGCTTGGGATCCTTGTCCTACTTGAATCTGAATTTGCTGCAATTCGGGTACCGACGACTGTTGTTGCATTTGTTCCACTTGTTGGTCCGTCTGTTGTTGATTCTGCGTCGTATCGTTCGTCGTATTCAATGGATCCTCTTTGGCACGCTTAGTAAGGTGAGATCTCGCGTGCTTTCTAAGGTGATCTTTTCGATAGAATGCTTTGCCGCATTCGGTGCAAACTTCGGTCTTTTGCCCAGAATGTATAACAAAATGAAGATTCAAGTGCTCTTTTCGTTTAAAGCCCTTCATACAAACGGAACAAATAAAAGGCCTATCAGGATTATGGCCTAATTTGTGTCGTTCCAAATGTTCCTTTCGTTTAAGACCAGCGCCGCAAATGTCGCATATAAATCTCCTCTCTATTTTATGTCCGATCAAATGCTGTTCCAAACTTTCCTTCTCCGGATACGCCATATTACATTGAGGGCAGCAAAATAGGGTCGTGCCATCGAGAGCAGTGACTATGCTCACTTGTCCTGGTTTCGGTTTCTTCGGTTTCGGTGGTTTCTTTTTGTATTTCTTTTTCCGCTTCGGTTTCGCTCCTGGCTCCTGTTCTTCGACAACGTCGGGAATGATGGCCGTTTCTCCTCCGGCGACTGTAATCTGCACAGCTTGCTCTCCCGAAGCTGTACTTCCGGAAGCATCGAGACCATCCGGTCCGAGCGGACTGGATTCAATGGTAGCTTCCCTTTTAATAGTTTCCGCCGAAAACTTGAGAAAATGTTGCAAACTAAGAGGCAAAGTACTTGTTGGCAGTCTGGAGAGATAATCTGCGACCGTGGATCCTGGAGTAGCGAGACTCTGCCAACTGGCAGGCATAGAAGTAATGAATTCTTCCCCACTCTGATTACCTTGACTCTTGACACTACCTCGTTTAATAAGAGCCACGGGTGTCGTGCCCTCCTTAACATCCTCCTTGGACTCCTCTATGCTCTCTCGTAGAATCAAGTCTTGAGGAATCTGGGCAACTACAGTCAGACCTTCGGGCGCTCCCGGAAGTTGTACCGTCTGTTGAATAGTCTGTTGAGACGTAGTGGTCACGGCGGTAGACGTACTTTGTGTCGTTTGATCAGACCTGTAATCGAATTAAAGTGTCAATTGGCAAAATCTGTTTTTTTTTTCTTTTTCTTTTCTTCTTCCCCTTAACTTTGTCTAAGATTTTGCTTTTACAATTTGTGCAAAATTGTAATATGTGACATAATACGAGAGTTATAGAATGTTGAATACACTTATAAATTAACTTACGTTTGTGTAGTCGCTACGGTGTTTTGCGGTTGTACTTGAATTTGAACACCATCCGCGCCTTGTTGACTGTAGGCAACAGTGAGAACGGTAGCTGCTCCCTGTGGAAACTGACTCAGAGATATCGGTGCCAAGTGATACTTTGGCTGATCGCCGCTATTTCCGCTTTGAGACACACTAGGGTTGACCACTTGTATTTGGACAGTCTGCTGTTGCTGCGTACCATCCTTTCCCGGAACGGTGATAGGCAAAGTAATAATTTGTTGTTGTTGACTATTACCGCTCTGAGCCACAGCAAAGCCATTTGGATCGACTGGTCTTAAATAATGAACTCCACCTTCACCACCGGATAAAACTCCTACCACCTGTCCTCCAGTGGTAAGATTCTGTGCAAATTTCGCTGTGGCGAATTGATGAACAGTGCCGGTCGGCAACGAGCCAGTAAATCCGGGGAAAGGCGTGAAATTCATTTTTCAAATTTCCGACGATTACACCCTGTAACAGGAGAAGATACATTCTCGTTATTGTAGCAATTAACTACAAAGTTCGTTTCATCTCTAAAATTCAACATTGACACATTTCCAAGGAAAGGTACATATATTCGTTGTTGCTACTCTCTTAAGACACACACACACACACGAGATGACTTGACTAGCTGGTTGACTAATTAGAAGACACTATTACGATATTACAGGAGAGCTCGAAAATAAAAAAATTTTTGTTTTTAACCACTGATATATATATGTATGTATATATTTGTTGTATGAATACGTTTGTTGATATGTGTTGGATGTGCAATTACAAATATGTAACAACATTGATTTTAGAAAAATGGAGATGACGTAGCCTGCAATAGATAAATGAGAAATGCCTTATCAGTCACACGCATGCTGAAAAAGTTGGTGAGCGTTTATTCAAACGTGTAACAGGTTTTTATTCATTTATCATTTATTTCCATCGCATTTATAGTATATACGAATATATAATCGGAACGATTTATTTAAATTAATTATCGAAGAATCCAATAATGGAACGTATCCAAAATTTCAATCTATCAACACAAATTCGACGTTTGAGTAAGTGGCAGCGAGAGAGCGCGCGCGCGCGAGAGAGAGAGAGAGAGAGAGAGAGAGAGAGAGAGAGAGGTGAATAACGTGGTTCCGATTCGGAGCCTTAGTGATATCGCGTTCCGCGTGCACGAGGGTGGGGTGAGGACTCCCCCACTTCACCCCCTCCCCCTACCCAAAAGGGATCCGGGAGCAGGGAGGATAGTCGTCAAAGTGGCCCAGGATCCCACCCCACTCCACTCCACTCCACTCCACTTCACTTCACTCCACTCCACTCCAGTGCGCGGCGTACGGTGCCCCTACGGGTGCAACGCAAAGGGTAGGAGCGCGTTGAGGGTAGGGGGAAGAGGGGGGGGGGGGGGTATCATAGGTGGGAACCTACCGCGAAATAGAGCTCGAGACTCGGTTCCTCTTTCTCCCGCGCGCGTTACCTCGACGTAGCGTATACCGCGAGAATGGAACGAGAAAGAAGGCGAATTGACAAGGGTAGGGGAATGTCAAGAAAGAAGGGAGTCGAACCTCGGCACACACCGACATTCCCCGGGGAAGGGGAACGCGAAAACGTCAGGGGGCGAAGGTACCCGTAGCGGGCGGGCTGCCAGACACGGCGCGCGCCAGACGAATTGGGGCAATGATGACAATGATGACGATAACCGAGGCGATCCCCACCCTTGGCTAGGTACGCTCGTTGACGGGATCCGTTGACGGGAAGAGAGAAAGAGGTTAAGATATTCGCGGATGTGGGTGTTATGCACGCCGTGCGCGCGCGTACGCCACTCGAGGGCCAAGGGTGTTATTTCGAAGGGGAAAGAGAGAGAGAGAGAGAGAGAGAAAATGTTGGGATGAATTACGAATTTCAAGCTCTCTCGGACACGAGGCGCTACGCTTCACTCGTCGACACCACGCAACGTGTTTTTCGTTGTACGCGGAATGGCGTACGCGACTGATCGGACGGCTCCGTTCTCGCTCGTACCGACTACCGACGCCAGTCTAGATTCGGCTAGACGCTCTCGTAAGACGCGCATGTCGTCATGGCGCAACGATTCTCCTAAGGTTAGTCGAGGCTAAGTTTATCTTTGTCTCTCACACGCGTGCTCTCTCCCCCCCCCCGCCTCCTCTCTTCCCCTTCCGCCCGTTGCCTTTCCTTACGTACTCGAATGCCTCGGACGTATCGTATCTTTGTTTCAATCGAAAACGCTCCGCGAAAGCAAGTATCGCGCATATATACGTTAATGCAGATTTCTCGCAAGATCCAATCCGTCTAGCTAGACAAGCCAGGGGCGTTTCGCATTACTACTTTGGCGTGCGGGACGCTGCACGCCAAACGGATCGGCGATTGTCGCGACGTCCCGCATCGTTTCCTTTCCGCTTTCCTCCTCGCGGCTCACCACCAAGCTCGCGACGCGACGCACGTACGTTCTTTCGTTTTTATTATTGAGAATTGAGGTAAAAAGGAGGTTTATCGCACGTTGCGAAAGTTCCATTCATCTTCGATCCCGTTCGACTCTCGATCAATTCGACTCGGCCGACGGCGTCGTGCACGGCGTGGCTTGCATACGCGGATACGCTGCGCACGCCCGCCATGTTGGAAAAAAAGATTCACGTAAGAGCGCGTGAGAATTGTGACGCGGGCTTTTTTTTTTTCTTTTTCTTCTTCTACATTTCCCTCTCTTTGCTTCTCTCCCGCTCTATGAAGACGGCTCTATGAAGACAGCCCCTTCTTCTAACGCGAGCCCGAGAATAATCCTCCGTGTGATCCTCTCCCTACTCGTTCCTTTGGCCGTATCCGGGACCAAGGACGGAAATAGGAAAGTGATGGCGACGAAACGCGGCAAGGCACGCGGCAAGGCAAAAGATGCATCAGCTGACGGAGAGCAGGGCAGAGGCGAAACGACGGCGAGGTACACGGGCAGGGCTGTTGTTTACACCCCCACCTCGATGGGTAGGCAGCGAGATGCCACGGAGGGGCCTCCGAGACCTCGACGAACACCCACCACCACGCAATTTCCAACCCCACCAGCCTCTCAACCACTGTCCGCACCTCCAACCACCCCACCAAAGCCAGCTCGAGCCAAGCCGTGAGCCACGACGAGGGCCCCGCGACGATTTTAGTGTCTTGGGGTGGGTGCTCTCTGTGGCCACCGTTTCGCGGTTTCTCGTCGCGAAATGGTCTCGTCGTCTAGAGTCGAACGTGACATGGCACCTACCGTGACATGAGACCTACCGTCCGCGCATCTTCGGGACTATCGGGACTATCGGGACTATCGGGACTATCGGGAGTACGATCGAGCCGATCGAGAGCCAGAGATATTAAGCTACTTTTATACATATATAATTTTTTTACGCGCGCGCGCACGCACACACACACACACACACACACACACACACACACACACACATATATATATAGAGAGAGAGAGAGAGAGAGAGAGAGAGGAAAAGAGAGCACATATGGTAATTATAAAGGCAGAGAAAAATTACATGTAAAACGATGACGTCTGAAGCACGAGGAAGATTTGCAAGCGTTCAAGATGTGAAAACTAGACTTTGACTTTGTTCTACTTACTCGTAAGTACAGGCAGGTAGACGACCAACTATAAACGACCAAATGACTCTCCGTCCACACTCGGCTCAATGTACCGCTGGTTACTGTCGCTACCTTCGGTCTCCGTACGTCCGCTTAGTACGGGAATTGTCCGTCTGGCTGGTTCGCGTGCGTCGTCGTTCCCAATCCTCAGCGCAACGGCAACAACTTTCTCATTTCAACGTGAACACGCCGACCGACGTATCGCCGCGGCTGTCGCTGCGATGCACACGTCATACATATGCGTAGAGAGACGTCAGGATGGACGCGCGCACGTCTCTAACGGAAGTTCGAGGAGAGCTCGAGAGTGACTCCGCGATAAATTCGCACTCGCACACACACACTCTCTCTCTCTCTCTCTCTCTCGCTCTCGCTCTCGCTCGAACGCACACTTGAGCTCTCGGCGCTCTCGCTGAACGGAGACGCGCACACACGCTTCGTTTCCGGGTTTACGATGACCAACCGCGATCGAATATGGCTCAGCCCTCCTCGGTCGGTAGGTACGTGAGCTGTGAGCGTGGATGTCGCTCGAGCCGACCAACGGGAATAGATTCAAACTAACGGTACATACATATAGCCGCCTGACACGCCACTACGACGGTGGTCACGCCATCGGTAAACGACAAAACGACTTCGAGTCGGAGGCCGGAGCGTGTTACGACTAGTGATACCACCGAAAGTTGGACGCGCGACGCTTCGACCAGCTTCGATCAGCTTCGATCAGCTTCGATCGCGGATTGGCAGATTGGCAGATTGGCTTCGATTGGACGACAATGACGACGCGCGCTTCAACGCACTCGCCACTACATACCTACTCCACATCCAGATCCAGCGTCGCTTGCCGTCGCCTAAATCCCTCGGATCGATCTTTCGATCGAGAGAATACACGCGTTCTCTAAGCTGTTCTTAATATTTCAACCGTATGAAAATATATTAATTATGGCGACGGTTACGTCGTAGAGTAGGGTACGAGTGATAATGAGGCAATTAGAACGTGGCGTGTTGGCGCTTGCGCGTACTTGCCGATCGAGCTGATTGCATTCGCAAACAACGCTTATCTTTGCTCAATTTTCTTTTCGCGTTCGATTATCTCGTACGATCTAAATATTCTAAACACATTCGTTCGTCACTCCGTAACGTCGATCCCTCCTTTCTCTCCACTCTTCCGAGTTCCGTCACGCCACGCTTGGAACAAAGCGATTCGATTCGATTCGACTCGACTCACACGCACCTAGCGGATACTTACTAGAGGTTGAGTCAAGTGAAGATCAAACATTGACTGTCCTGCCATCTTTCTCGAGCCTCGAATGCGCGCATTTTTACGAAACGTTCTCGAAACATTGCCGCTGCTGGTGGTGATATATTCATAATTGTGATACTTTATGTATCAAGTGCAGGCTCAACATGTCATGAATCAATCAGAGAGCCGTATTAGCATCCCAAGACATTAATTGAAATGCTCTTAAAGTAATTAAGAACAGACTAAGAGTATCGATTCAAAACTCAACAGTCATCTCTACTCGTTAGCCCGGATCTACAATAGGTGTATCAAAGTTTCAATTTAAGCCTTAAGAAACTGAATGAATCATAATCGATCGTGCTCCTCAATACTCGCTCCTCGTCGATACCTTCTTTTCAAATTCACCTGTCCATTTGTATTCATATTTTTGCAACCCCAATCTTTCATACGCGTGTTCCGAGTTGCCATGCATCAAATTCCACGCTACATCACATATGCCAATGAAAATACGCATCTATAAGAATGTAATGATGAGCCTGGGAGATGATTTGTACAAGAAATAATTCAAATAAAGAAATATTACAAATTTACATGGTTTCACATTCATATACTCTCACTTACACACAATTATATGCGCTAATAAAAGATGCTTAATACTTTAACGATTATACATTATTGAAACTTATATCTATAGCTGTTGCTTCCGACAAAAGTTTTATATACCAATTTTATTGCTGTAGTACGCACGCTTCATCGTTACTCAATCGATGTCAATTGGAAAATCAAAAATTATAATATATATCACATAGCAATGACAGAAGAAAAACAGCGAGATGTTGACTAAATCTCAAGATGCTTTACAGGTGAAACGTGTATTCGTCAATAGAGATCTGGTCTCCTCTGCATACGTTCCATGTATAAGGAAAAGAGCAATTTATTGCTCTCGTAATAAAAAGGATTTTCTGTCGCATCCAAATCTGGTCTGTAATCACTGGTAAAACTGCTTTGGCTGGAACCACAACTGCCCCTGGGTGATGAATTTTGAGATATCTCTGAGCAGCTTGGAGATGACATGAAATTTCCACTCTCCCAATCTGTTTCCATATTCTCCACCGTGTTCTCTCGTAAGCCAGATAAACCATTGATATGAAGATTGTTAATCCGTTTGCTCAATGGCATAAAATCGCTAGATTCCTCTTCTATGTTGCGACATCTCTTCCTAAATGATTCAAATAGAAAATTATTACAAAATCATAACAATGCTATTAGAGATAAAAATTATGTTTTTCAACTTCTTTTTTATATTTGTCTTTTTAAATACATTTTTACAAATACGTATATACAGGATGTTAGTCAAGTATGTTGCTATACTAAACAGAGCGATTCTTTGGTTTATTTCAAGTAAAAAAGTCCATATAAATAATGTGTTCTAAACTTAGTTTCCGAAATATAAGTGAATGTTCGCAAATGTTTGACGAAACGGTAAATTGCATTGGAGATATCTTCCTGCATAAATGCCTTGCTTCACATGAGTTACCATTCACACAACATAAACAAAATAACAAAGTCAAAGTCAAAGCCTCCTAGATCACCAGACTTAAATCCTTTGGATTATTTCCTTTGGGTATCTGAAATCATTGGTTTATAGCACTCCAATTGAGAATGAGAATGATTTGAGAAATCGAATAGTTGCTTCATGAGAGGCAATACGTAACACACCTAGTATCTTTGAGCATGTACGTCAATCTGTGAGAAGAAGGCTCGCCAGGTGCTCATGGCGCAAGATGGACATTTTCAACAATTCATCTAATTGTTTTATTTCAGCAGAAGAACTGTGAGCCTGTTTTTGTTTTTCTGTTTTCCATTAGTTTTTGACTAGTTCAAGCTGTATTTCTTTCAAATAAATAGATTATTATTACACGTTAAAATTTTTTTTATTTCGAAAATTAATTTGTTTAGGATGTTTATATGGACTTTTTTACTTGAAATAAACCAAAGAATCACTCTGTTGAGTATGGCAACATACTTAACTAACACCCTGTATATTAAAAAAAAGTAGATAATTTTATTAATATAGAATATCCCACTCCACCTAAAATCTTAATAAAAATGTACTTATTCGACGTGTTTTCACTCAAAATGAATTTGATGACAAAAAAAAAACGCAGAGGTCGGTTTCGTGAATCGAGTTATTAAGCGTTAAAATTAGAGACTTTAGAAATTAACATATCTGTCATCCCGACTCAATACAGCACTACATATGCATATATGTATATGTTCTGCTTTAATTACACAAGTTCACTGTTTTAAAAACATAAATTCACTGCTTTACAAATACAATATTCTTTTCATTAGCAATAAATTTGTGTTTTTAAAGCGGTGAATTTGTATGTTTGTGAAGCAAAGAATTTGTTTTCATAACAGTGAATTTGTATAGTTAATGCAGAACGTATACATAGCGCTATATTGAGTAGGGATAACGGATATCTTAATCTCTGAAGTCTCCAACTTTAACGTTTAATAATTCGATTCACGAGGCTGAACGCCACATTTTTCTGCCAGATTCTTTAGTTTCCAGCGATAAACTCGAATGAGTATATTTTTATTCAGATTTTAGGTGAAGTATTCTAAATAATTACTAAGCAGGTATCATAATTTGTTACGTCAACGTTTTGCAAACGTTCGAAAGACAAACCTGTTTATTCGCGTCATGGTTATCGTTGATCGACTTCCACGAAGATTTCAATAAAGATATTCTCTCACTTGATACATGTTGCGCTTCTCATTTCGATATTTCGAGATCAATTATATTTCCAAATGTTTACTAAATCAAAATACAAAAACTATAAAATGCAATGGCTTCAACTTTCGAAACCCTTAGATCTGATGGGAGCTGACAAATATGCAAATAACTGACAACCGAAATTCGAGATAAATCAGAAAACTAACCTCCTATTGAACTTCCTAATCGTCAAAAACTGTCAACATTGTAAAGACAGTTGACTGTACATGAATAACGAAAAAAGAATGTAGAGTTGTTATTTCTGTTCTTCATATGATATCATTTAAGGCGCATTCAGATTACAGCGCCGGAGTTAGAGTGTATTCACATGCAAGCGTGAAGCAACGGAAGCAGCAACTAATCAACAATGCGATTTTTACAGTGGCGTAAAAAAATTTTTTAATAATCCAGCCAAAAAATAATCATTGTGTGTCGTAGGCTTAAGCCCGGATTCTCAGGCTGTTTTCACATGCAGCGTAACTTGCGCAAAGGTAACTTGCGTCACCGACGAGATACTAAGACCGATTCCTTACGGGAGTTCGCGTCCTTGTGAATATTGAAGTAATTAAGAGTTAAAAACTGATAATATTGTACTATTGTTTATGATTTATTAGTTTAGTAGACGTATTTATGCATTTAAAACTCAATACTCAATTTTTCTAGAAAATGATTTCAGTGTTATCGTCAAAGTTTGATTATCAAACAGAGATGATAACAGAGAAAAAATTATAATTTTTCTGCAATATATAGAATATTATAGCTTTACAATTATGCATATTCATTTATGAAACATTTATGTAACAAAAAAATCATAAATTTAATAATGTATGAGCCAAATATTGATAATAGCAAGTTTATAACAATTGTCGATAATATCAGCATTCTTTAATTATCTCTGGGTTCTTGGGACTCTTTTTATACCGTTGAAAATTTACTCAGGGTTGACTGTCTTTAATAGTATCTTATCGGTGCTTGCGTCAACCAATCAAATCATATCGAATTGTATCAGCTACTACGCATTATTCTAGTTAAAACGATTTGATTGGCTGACGCAAGTTACGCTTATGCATATTACGCTAAGAGTGAAATCACACGAAATAGGACTGCGGAATACAGAATGCGTCATTGAAGCAACCAATCAGCGCTATTTCGCACTTGTCCATCACGCAAGTTTTGTGTGCTATATTCACATAATGTATCAAAGACGTATCCAACATGAATATAATTTAAAAACTATTAATTTCATGTTAATAATAATTTGCTTATTAAAATGGACTATAATTTTTTAAATTGTAAACAATTATCATTGTTGCAGTATTTAATGTTTTACAATTAGTATTTACAACTTTATAACAATTTTTTGAACTGCTTTAACGCATTTATTATTATTTTTTCGCATCGTGTGAACATAGCACACAAAACTGGCGTCATGAAAAAGTGCGGAAAAGGGACACTGAAATCGCATATAATACATCAATGTTTTTTTGATCTTGGTATCTATATTCATGCACTCAGATTTTGTCATTTTGTTTCATTCATTTCGACATTACGCAATTTTATCATATCAATCAGCATCAAATTTTAACCTTTCAAAATACGATGATTTATTACAAGAACAATGACACTTGCTATTCCGCAGTATCAAATACAGAATAGCACTAAGTGATTGTTTCAATGACGCATTCTCTATTCCGCACTTGTGATTTCACCTTAAGTTGTACATCAGTCGCAGTGTCACAAGTGTTGTGGTCCAATCAGAGTCGAGCTAGATTGAAATTGATTGGGCCGCAACACTTACGACGCTGCGATGCGACTAATGTAGAACCAGCTTTATATGTGATAGCAGCCTCATACGGGCAGCAGCGCTCTGACACCGAACGCTGATTGGTGCAAAACGGGCAATGGGAGATAAATTTTACATCCATAACCGGTTTTTCATTAATTTGCGTTCGGTATCAGGGCCCTTATTCTCGAAAGTATCGCATTCATTGTTACGATGAATGCCGAACGTTGTATGACGGATGTCGTACATAGTGTAAATCCTACATTTCAAGTACGCTGAGTTTATTCGGAGCGACCACGAGCAGCTCCCGAGAGGCAAAACGCCATTGAGATGCATTACTATTCGTTTATACATACACGTTAAATACAAAATTATCGAAATTGAATTCTTATTCGTAATAAAAAAAAATGTATTATTAATAAATAATTATTTGATAAGTATTTATTAATATATAAGTATTTATTTTTCTAACATATAAATATAACCATTTATATCGTTGGGGATAAAATTGCGTGTTTGTCGATTCGAAATTTTTGTGACTGGGTTTCCCTTGAACTAATATTTCCAAAATTGTGAAAAATCAGAACATTTACTTTAAATATTTTATGAAAAAAAGAATTATTATATAGAAAAATCCACAAAAAATAAAATTTTGATATATTTTTCATTATAACGGAAAATAATAAAAAACAAAACAAACAATACTAATAATTTTGATTGGTTGATCATCATTCTAATACTTTTCCAAGATTCTGTTTTCCGAAAGTCCGACCGTCATGGGATAGCACTTTTAAGCGGAGAGCACAAACTCTTAGGCCGGAATCAGATTATGCATTGAAGATTAAAGATTAAAATTTCACCAATGAGAAAAAAGAAGTTTTGGCTCCTTTTGTTCTGATTGGTCAAATTTTAATCTTTCAATCTCATTCTTCAATGCGTACTCTGATTCTGGTCTTAAATAATGTATAACACGTAATATATAAGAAAATGTACTAATCAAAGTCCTTTGTTTTCCTTTCCATGAAATGAAGAACTAATTGGTTGGATTTCTTATATCTTATGTGTTATGCATTATATAAGGGTCTATGCTCCCCGTTTTAAAAGCATAATACATAAAACTTGAGATATAAAAAAAATCAACCAATTAGAATCCTTTATTATGGAAAGGAATTATGCAAGAGTCTGTACTCCCTGCTTAAAGGTATACGAGGTCTGTTCAAAAAGTATCGCGAATTTTGAATTTCCGCGGGTTACGTATATTCAATTTTCGATTTTTTTGTGGCGTTATGTTGGTACTCATGTCTCTCACTTATGCCGACAAGTTCGGCCATTTTGAATGTTCAGTTAATTTTTGACAGCTGCTTTGCTTGCACGTGTTTTGGCTCGTCTTCGATTTTTGCCTATTCCAAAAAATGGATCAAAGAATCTGTATCAAATTTTGTGTGAAAAACAAAATTAAGTGCGCGGACGCATTCCGAATGTTGACTGTGGCATATGGTGAAGCTACCTTGGACCGAAACAACGTTTATCGGTGGTACAAAATGTTCTCAGAGGGCCGAGAAGATGTGAACGACGAAGAGCGTGCCGGACGCCCGAGCACGTCAACAACAGACGAAAACATTGATGAAGTGAAGAAAATAGTATTGGCCAATCGTAACGGTCAATAAGGAATATTACCTGCAAGTTATGCGCAATTTGCACGAAGCAATCCGCCAGAAACGCCCGGATTTGTGGAAGAACAAAAATTGGCTTTTGCACCATGATAACGCCCCTGCTCACACATCGTTGCTTGTGCGCGAATTTTTGACCAAAAACAACACGCTAATGATGCCGCAGCCACAGTATTCCCCAGATCTGGCCCCCTGTGACTTTTTCTTGTTCCCGAAACTGAAGAGGCCCATAAAAGGACGACGCTACGCTACGATTGAGGAGATAAAGACGGCATCGAAGGAGGAGCTGAACAAGATCGCAAAAAATAATTTTTTGAAGTGCTTCGAGGATTGGAAAAAACGTTGGCACAAGTGTATAATATCTGATGTGGATTACTTTGAAGGGGACAAAATAGATATTCATGAATAAATAAATAATTTTTGAAAAAACACAAAATTCGCGATACTTTTTGAACAGATCTCGTACATTCTAATCTGGGTAAACCCTCGGTGAAAACTGGGCCATTAACGCATTCTCTATTCCGCAATCTTATTCGGTAATATGTAATTTTACGCTTAGGCTCCCATGATAAATCTGTTTTCTGCAGCTGAACTAGTATACACTTTTGGAACTTAAAGTGAGATTGATATTTGTTTAAAGCGAGAAAGAGAGTTTTAGAACGGTCTAGTGCAAGATAGCAATCATGAAACTTTATCCCTAGAATAGTGAAAAGTGAAAATTTTAACCATTAAAGTTAATGGAGAAATTTTTCACTTTTCACTTTTCATTCTAGAAAAAAAGTTTTATGATTGATACCCAGAAAACAGACCAGAGGAATATTTACTGCGGATCGCGTAATTAAGCAGAAGCGATTCGCTGTTGTAGTTTCGCGTTTTACTTGATTATTGATTGGTTATGCGGTTACGTGATATATGGTAACACCTCATGAGACTTCAGCCTTAGGGTGAAGTTCCATAAGACGTATATGCTACATATAGCACGATTATATGAATCAAATATCGACTTATCAACTTCATCTTTGAAAAGTAGACGATGTGCCCTAAAAAAAGTGGATGTTGCTATGTAATTTACAGCCACTTTGTCAGAGGGCAGTAGTGCGCTGCAGCATTTTACGGTTACAGGTTTTGAGCCGTCATGTTCTTTCTCAAATTTCTCTCTGCCAGAACCAATATGGCGACTAGATGTCGCGTCATGTTAGGATGCCACATATGAGATAACATGGTGTGCTTAGTTTGCAAGCATCTCTCTCTAAATCTCTGCCGTCTTTGTCTATAAATGTAGCGTCAGAGGAAAAGTCTGCCAACTGTAAAATGCTAAACATGGAGCGATATTTGTAGTTCATTTTTATTTTAAAACTGTTTTAAATGTGATAATGTCTTAAGATGCTAATACAGTCCTCAGATTAACTTATGACATCTTAAGACTGTACTTAAGACAGTCTTAAATATAAGAATTGACTATAAATATCGATCTGCTTCGTGAAATTGATACTGAATCTTTTCTTGCCGACAAATTTTCCTACTGGTTATTTCCGACTGCCATTTTCGACCTAGTTGTAGTACAATAAGCGTTAATATTGGCTGCATTCAGTAATTTCAACAGTTGAGTGAGCGTTCGCTGCTATTAATGTATTCTTCCATCAGATCTAAAATGCTGATTGGATGATCTAAAAGAATACTCCAATAACAAGCTCTCACTCAACTGTTGACTTCACTGAACGCAACCATTCATAAGGTGCTTTTCATTTGATGACACAAGTCGACACAAGCGTCATTCTATCTTTCTTAACATTTAGAGAATGAAGATC